AGAGGGTAAGGTACCTAGGGATTGGCAGAGATAATGCATAGTTCCTTTGTATAAAGGCAAAGGGGATAAAGAGAGTGCAAAAATTATAGGGGGATAAGTCTGCTGGTATACCTGGTAAAGTGTATGGTAGAGTTATTATTGAAAGAATTAAGAGTAAGACGGAGAATAGGATAGCAGATGAACAAGGAGGCTTTAGGAAAGGTAGGGGGTGTGTGGACCAGGTGTTTTACAGTGAAACATATAAGTGAACAGTATTTAGATAAGGCTAAAGAGGTCTTTGTGGCATTTATGGATTTGGAAAAGGCGTATGACAGGGTGGATAGGGGGGCAATGTGGCAGATGTTGCAAGTGTATGGTGTAGGAGGTAGGTAACTGAAAGCAGTGAAGAGTTTTTACGAGGATAGTGAGGCTCAAGTTAGAGTAATGTAGGAAAGAGGGAAATTATTTCCCAGTAAAAGTAGGCCTTAGACAAGGATGTGTGATGTCACTGTGGTTGTTTAATATATTTATAGATGGGGTTGTAAGAGAAGTAAATGCGAGGGTCTTGGAAAGAGGCGTGGAGTTAAAAGATAAGAATCACACACAAAGTGGGAGTTGTCACAGCTGCTCTTTGCTGATGACACTGTGCTCTTGGGAGATTCTGAAGAGAAGTTGCAGAGATTGGTGGATGAATTTGGTAGGGTGTGCAAAAGAAGAAAATTAAAGGTGAATACAGGAAAGAGTAAGGTTATGAGGATAACAAAAAGATTAGGTGATGAAAGATTGGATATCAGATTGGAGGGGAGAGAGTATGGAGGAGGTGAATGATTCAGATATTTGGGAGTGGACGTGTCAGCGGATGGGTCTGTGAAAGATGAGGTGAATCATAGAATTGATGAGGGGAAAAGAGTGAGTGGTGCACTTAGGAGTCTGTGGAGACAAAGGACTTTGTCCTTGGAGGCAAAGAGGGGGAATGTATGAGAGTATAGTTTTACCAACGCTCTTATATGGGTGTGAGGCATGGGTGATGAATGTTGCAGCGAGGAGAAGGCTGGAGGCAGTGGAGATGTCATGTCTGAGAGCAAGTGTGGTGTGAATATAATGCAGAGAATTCGTAGTTTGGAAGTTAGGAGGAGGTGCGGGATTACCAAAACTGTTGTCAGAGGGCTGAGGAAGGGTTGTTGAGGTGGTTCGGACATGTAGAGAGAATGGAGCGAAACAGAATGACTTCAAGAGTGTATCAGTCTGTAGTGGAAGGAAGGCGGGGTAGGGGTCGGCCTAGGAAAGGTTGGAGAGGGGGTAAAGGAGGTTTTGTGTGCGAGGGGCTTGGACTTCCAGCAGGCATGCGTGAGCGTGTTTGATAGGAGTGAATGGAGACAAATGGTTTTAATACTTGACTTGCTGTTGGAGTGTGAGCAAAGTAACATTTATGAAGGGGTTCAGGGAAACGCAGGCCGGACTTGAGTCCTGGAGATGGGAAGTACAGTGCCTGCACTCTGAAGGAGGGGTGTTAATGTTGCAGTTTAAAACTGTAGTGTAAAGCACCCTTCTGGCAAGACAGTGATGGAGTGAATGATGGTGAAAGTTTTTCTTTTTTGGGCCACCCTGCCTTGGTGGGAATCGGCCAGTGTTGATTAAATAAAAAAATAATAAAATATATATATATATTATATATATATATATTATAATATATATATATATATATATAATATATATATATAATATATATATATATATATATTATATATGCATGCATGCATGCATGCAAAAACAACCTCTGAAAGAATAGAGAATTTCCAAGCGCTTTCGTGATACTCACATTATCATAGTTTCCTTGAATAATGTGAGTAGTCACGAAAGCACTTGGAATTTCTCTATTCTTTCAGAGTGGTTGTTTTGCATATTTTGAAATCACTGTTTACTGTGATCTTATTGCATATATATATATATATACACACACACACACACACACACACACAACACAACATCACACACACACACAACCACATATATGCAAACAATCACAGACAGGCGATTTACGAGCCACCTCCCACCCCCCTTCCCCCTCAACGCAAAACCTGGAAACCTTGCTTGTTTATGATTTCATGCTTTAACCCTTAAACTGTTCAAACGTAGATCTGTGTCTGCGCGCTTAGTGCTCTGACCTTGATTTTCTCCATAAGAAACAATTTTCCCATAAGAAACAATGTAAAAAAATGTAGATCTATGTTTGCACAGTTTAAGGGTTAATTCCATGGAAATCATTCTCTTTTTCTTTTCAGCACTGTCCTTTACAATTACTTTCTTAGGACCCATTCTTAGAAAACTGAAATTTGGCCAAATGACTGTCAAAATTGTAAGCAAAGCACGAGAGAACTGCTCCCACAGCGAGGTAAACAGTGCACTGAGTTTGTGGCTTGTACTGCATATACATATATATATATACATGTATATATATATCATGAAATACTTTTTTATTAATACTATTATGGAAAGTGTTCAATTTTCCAGACCAGAATTTTATATAAATTAATCAAAATATTCAGTTTAATACATGGTAAACAGGTATGAGTATGGCTACGTGACTTTAGCATGTAGTATGCTGCATACGTGACTAACAAAATTTATACCCATTATGAGGTTAGCCAGGAGAGCCTATCAGCTCTTAAATTTATGCTAAAATCAAATCTTTAGATTTTATTATATTTTGATTTACTGTATTGTGAAAACTAATACAGTGGATGAATGAAGTTACTGACACTTGCATTATGGATTAATATGCAGTATCTGTGCACAGAACATTAGTACATACCGTAATTGTGAACTGGCACCTCTCAATCATGCTGGGGGCTATAATACTGTGCCATAGGCGAGTGTATTTGTATCGTGTGTCACATGTGGGTAATTCTAGGGCTTAATTCCTGAGTTACTCAACGTCTACCATTTTTGTAAGGACTTCAGTAGTGTACTATAAAATCCCCCGGACACCACCATGACACACAAAACTCCTGTTATAATACCTAATATACCCTGGCCTGTTAGGCAGGGTGTTAAGTTGTAATACATAAAGGTGGTGACCCTACAGATTTAAACAACTATAGGCCAATATCAAACTTACCATTGCTATCCAAAATCTTTGAGAAACTCGTGCACAGGAGACTATATTCATTTATAACGGCACAAAACATACTCAACCCCTGCCAATTTGGATTTAGGAAAAATAAAAGCACTAACGATGCAATCATAAAAATGCTAGATCTGCTTTACACAGCATTGGAAAATAAGGAATATCCACTGGAATTTTTATTGACATAAGAAAAGCTTTTGACGCAGTAGACCACGGCATCCTACTCACAAACTTGACCATTATGGTATAAGAGGCCATGCGCTTGCATATTTCAAATCTTACCTTACTAATAGGTATCAGTATGTCACCATTAAAGACAGCATCAACAACACAGCCACTTGATACTGGAGTTCTGCAGGGAAGTGTCCTTGGTCCCCTGCTCTTCCTCATATACATCAATGATCTTCCAAACGTATCTCAACACCTGAACCCCATTCTCTTTGCTGACGACACGATTTATGTCATCTCTCACCCTAATCTTGCCACCCTCAACACCATTGTTAATAAACCATACCCCCGGCCGGGATTGAACCCGCGGTCATAGAGTCTCAAAACTCCAGCCCGTCGCGCTAGCCACTAGACCAGCCAACCACAATAAGATTCATCCAACTAGGTATATTTCTACACCATAGGAAAGTTAGCACAGGCACCTCTGTGACCACAAATGCAAGTTTTTACAGACGAATCTCCAGCTAGCGTGGCCGTGGCGAACTCTAGCTCAAGTCCCTTCACTGCCGTCAACATGACTTAAGAAATCGTAATGACACGATTGCAAATAAACCATACCCCCGGCCGGGATTGAACCCGCGGTCATAGAGTCTCAAAACTCCAGCCCGTCGCGCTAGCCACTAGACCAGCCAGCCACAATAAGATTCATCCAACTAGGTATATTTCTACACCATAGGAAAGTTAGCACAGGCACCTCTGTGACCACAAATGCAAGTTTTTACAGGCGAATTTCCAGCTAGCGTGGCCGTGGCAAACTCTAGCTCAAGTCCCTTCACTGCCGTCAACATGACTTAAGAAATCGTAATGACACGATTGCAAATAAACCATACCCCCGGCCGGGATTGAACCCGCGGTCATAGAGTCTCAAAACTCCAGCCCGTCGCGCTAGCCACTAGACCAGCCAGCCACAATAAGATTCATCCAACTAGGTATATTTCTACACCATAGGAAAGTTAGCACAGGCACCTCTGTGACCACAAATGCAAGTTTTTACAGACGAATCCCAGCTAGCGTGGCCGTGGCGAACTCTAGCTCAAGTCCTTCACTGCCGTAAAACATGACTTAAGAAATCGTAATGACACGATTGCAAATAAACCATACCCCCGGCCGGGATTAAACCCCGCGGTCATAGAGTCTCAAAACTCCAGCCCGTCGCGCTAGCCACTAGACCAGCCAGCCACAATAAGATTCATCCAACTAGGTATATTTCTACACCATAGGAAAGTTAGCACAGGCACCTCTGTGCCCAAACAAATGAAAAGTGAAGGGACTTGAGCTAGATTCGCCACGGCCACGCTAGCTGGAGATTCGTCTGTAAAAACTTGCATTTGTGGTCACAGAGGTGCCTGTGCTAACTTTCCTATGGTGTAGAAATATACCTAGTTGGATGAATCTTATTGTGGCTGGCTGGTCTAGTGGCTAGCGCGACGGGCTGGAGTTTTGAGACTCTATGACCGCGGGTTCAATCCCGGCCGGGGGTATGGTTTATTTGCAATCGTGTCATTACGATTTCTTAAGTCACCATTGTTAATGAGGAGCTGATCAAAGTATCGACTTGGATGACAGCCAATAAACTTACGCTTAGCACTGACAAAACCTACTACATAATGTTTGGTAGCAGAGCAGGAGATGCGCAAATTAACATTAAGATCGACAACACTCTAATTGCCAGGCATAATGAGGGCAAATTCCTAGGCCTATGCCTCGACAACAACCTGAACTTCAGCACCCATATCCAACACATAACCAAAAAAGTATCCAAAACGGTTGGGATCCTCTCCAAGATACGATACTACGTGCCGCAAACTGCCCTTCTCACACTACAGTGGACCCCCGCATAACGATTACCTCCGAATGCGACCAATTATGTAAGTGTATTTATGTAAGTGCGTTTGTACGTGTATGTTTGGGGGTCTGAAATGGACTAATCTACTTCACAATATTTCTTATGGGAACAAATTCGGTCAGTACTGGCACCTGAACATACTTCTGGAGTGAAAAAATATCGTTAACTGGGGGTCCACTGTATACCATTCACTTATATATCCATACCTCACCTATGCTATCTGTGCTTGGGGTTCAACTGCAGCAACACACCTAAAGCCAATAATAACCCAACAAAAAGCCGCAGTAAGAATAATCACTAAATCCCATCCCTGGCAACACCCCCCCCCCCACTCTTCATAGATCTAAACTTACTCCCTGTTCAGTACATCCACACTTACTACTGTGCAATCTACATCTACAGGACCTTAAATTCCAATATTAACCTTGACCTAAAATGCTTTCTTGATAGTTGTGACAGAACCCACAGGCACAACACCAGACACAAACATCTCTGACATTCCCCGTGTCCGACTAAACCTTTACAAAAATTCAATGCATGTCAAAGGCCCTAAAATCTGGAGCACCCTACCTGAAAATTCTAAAAATGCAGACACATTCATCACCTTCAAAACTACCATCAGAAAACATCTTATCTCCCTGATACACCCTGTCAACTAATTACACGAATACCACCTGGTGGTTAACACTTACACTCACTCACCCATTTGACCATAAACAGAAATATCAATCTCATTCTCAAAATAATGAATCTTAACTAGTCATAAGTTGGCCTGTGATACTCCAATACTGAAACTATGTATAGTGCCAAAACAAAAGCATTCACATTGCTAAACTCACAAACTAGTATTTAGTCACTTAGCCATAATACCAACTTACCTCATAATTTTGTAATATTTTAAACTTAAGATTTAATTTAAGTCTGCCCGAAATGCCTAGCCATGCTAGGTGTTCTAGTGGTACACTCTGTAATTATTATTTTACTACATGTAAACTACACAATAACCAAATTCTGTAAACTCAGCATTGTAATCCTTATAGAGAATAAAATTTGAATTTGAATCATCACCACCACATGGTGAGTTTAATCGCACTTCACAGGTATTTGTAGTTCATTATAAAGTCCACCAAAACGATATCATAATTAAACAGTATATCTTTTACAGCTTTTAGATAAAATCATCAGCTTGTACCCACATGTCATCATACATCCTGTATTTGTTTTAGGGCCTTAAACATGGGTATGTGTTGGAGGGCAGTAACAAACCTGGCTCCTCATTGCTCTGTAACACAAGTCCTCTGATAAGGCAGAGTAAGTTTTGTGTGTGTAGTATGTCCCACTACTACAGTATACATCTTGTAACAGTTTTTCAGGTATTCAATGGCTGTGCAAGTGCTAGACAACCTACAAGGGGAAAGAAAACTAAATATCGCAAGCCATTAGATCCCCAACACTCAGATGAATTACCAGGTATTGAAATTGTAATTTGATTTCCTTTGAAGCTGAATGTTCATGAGTTTTTTCATTAGTCATATATGACAGTGTTTTTGGTCATTTACATATGTAATTTACAGTCATTAATTGAAGAAAATACTGTGTATATACAGTACCATAATATAGTATTGCACAGTAATAATTCTTTAGCATAATGCATACTCTAGATTTTATCATTATTGTTGCATGATTATAATCTCATATTTTTCAGAGTTTGAATATGTGGGTGCAAGGTCTAGGCCTGATACTCTGATTTTCACATGGGGAATTGCAGACCATGGAGCTTTGGGGCGTGCTTCATTTGTGCGCCCAGAGCCTAAAAAGAACCAACATCACCTTCCATATGTTCACCATCCACACAGGCTTGAATTTGGTGAATATCATAAGGTATACAAGAACTAATATTTATTTTTTCGTATATTAATTTTGTTTCTTCTTTGCTGAATAGACATAAGTCAAGGGACTTCCACTAAGATGGGTACCATTTTCTTCCAGCTAGCTTATCAGATCACTAGCTAATGTTCCATTCTTTACATTCTTTTCAAAGTTAATTCCACTTAGGTAATTAGCCATGACCTCACTATACAAATTATTAAAGTTATCAAACAACAACAGTGACAAAAAAAAATTAATAGAAGACTTTTGATGCAGGCATCAATTTAGTCAAACATACTGTAAACACACAAACTGTACTCTCTGGGGTGCAGATGAGAAAGAAAGGTCATAATTTACTCCTGGAAAATACTAGCAAAACAATCACTAAGTTGACACTAGGTATGTAGACAATACATAATCTGACTCCATCTTCTAAAATTATTCACTTACCTGGGGTTGAATTGAAGCAACCACTTATCTGATTTTTCTTGCAATTTGAATAGATCCCTTTGGAGCCTTTCCGTATCCTCATGTTCATATTCTCATGAGTTTTACATCATCAGCAAAGAGAGAGATATCTAAATCAACCCCATCCTAATAGCAATCCTTGTAGAACTTGGTAGTTACTCTTCCCCATTCTGAAGTCCTGACAGTTACTCATTTCTTCCTGACCTTAAGATATCCTTTGATTCACTGGAGTATGTTTCTTGTTATTTTCACCTGAATCTGAATTTTTTGGCCCATCCTGTGTGCACGCTTATAAGTGTGCATGTTCACTTGGGTGTGCATGTGCATGTGTGCTTGCACATGTATTCTAAATTAAATTTTATGTGCTCAATTTCATGACATTTCTGTTTATTTTTAAATTTGTCTTTGACAGTGTGAAATATGCAGTAATAATAATTGCATCTCAAAATCTTTCAGGTTGTAGATTTGGCATGTGGTTATGGCTTCACCCTATTTGCTATTGACAGCAAGTCTGGAGTGTCTTGTTTTGGGACTGGATTGAATACTTTCTCCCAGATTGGTAAGCTCTGTATGGTATATTGATAATTTGAACAATCTTTTTGGTGTGAATGAATGAATACACTCATGGTGATATTTGTAACTTTTTATATTTGTTGTTGTATTTTTTAGGACATTTCATAAAATCTTTTTGTTGTTATAAGTGGTAGAGGCTTGAGTAACCAACAGATGTGTGTGAGCGTGTTAAGTCACTGTGTGTAGAGACGAGTAGTTTTTAGAGTTTGGCATGCTATTGGAGTATGAAGACAGTAATGTTAATGAAGGGATTCTAGGAAAGCAGTTAGCTGGACTTGTCATAGAAGTGGGAAGTACAGTGCCTTCAATCTTAGGAAGGGTAGGGGATGTCGCTGTTTGTAGGATTATGTGAATTGTGATGTTCACGCACCTTTGGTAAGACAGCTATTAAATGAACGATGTCTTTTTTTAGGGGGGTCACCCTACCTTGGCAGAAGACAGCTGATGTGGTTAAAAAAATAATGGCAAAGTTTTTTGTTCAGCAATTGCAATATTTATGTAAAATTCTGAATTCCTTATTGCTCAGTACTTGAGAGGAAGTATAGAGCAAAATGTGCTCCAGATACAGTAGGGCCCCACTTACACAGCAGGTTAGGTTCCAAGCTACTACGAGTAAGCAGACTTTGCCGGAAAGCAGAACGCCATTTTTTCCACTTATAAATGTATATAAATGCCAGATGACAAGTTTACACTAACATATATTAAGTTAACAATAGAACTTAGGCATTAAAAAAACAATAAAAAGTAAAATACACACACAGTACACAAATTATTTACCTCAAAATATTCGTTGTCTTAATGTAGGGCAAAAGGTGAGTAGCATTTACTATAAGAAGTTAGGTGTGGTAGCCCTCCTGGCCACCCCCACCCACACGTGATATATGATGATGCTTAAATAGAGTGTTAAAATGCATGTGCAGTACACTCATTACTTACCTTAAAAATTTGTTGTCTTAATGTAGGGTGAAAGATGAAAAGTATTTATTTGTAGAAACTGGTGTGGTAGGTAGGGTAGTGTAGGGAAGCCAGCCTGGCCACCCCACCCACTATTCAAATTCAAAGTTTATTCTCTATAAAGATTACAATGTCGAATTTACAGAATTTGGTTGTTGTGTGGTTTACATGTAGTTAAATAATGATTACAGAGTGTACCACTAGAACACCTAGCATGGCTAGGCATTTCGGGCAGACTTAGTTTAATTATTTATTTTAAAATATTACAAATTATGAGGTAAGTTGGTATTATGGCTAAGTGACTAAATACTAGTTTGTGAGTTTAGCAATGTGAATGCTTTTGTTTTGGCACAGTACATAGTTTCAGTATTGGAGTATCATAGGATTCATTATTTTAAGATTGAGATTAATATTTCTGTTTATGGTCAAATGGGTGAGTGAGTGTAAGTGTGAACCACCAGGTGGTATTCGTGTAGTTAGTTGATGGGGTTTATCAGGGAGATAAGATGTTTTCTAATGGTAGTTTTGAAGGTGATGAATGTGTCTGCTGTTCTAGGTTCTCAGGTAGGGTTGTTCCAGATTTTAGGGCCTTTGACATACATTGAATTTTTGTAAAGGTTTGTTGGACATGGGGAATGTCGTAGAGATGTTTGTGTCTGGTGTTATGCCTGTGGATTCTGTCACAACTATCAAGAAAGCGTTTTAGGTCAAGGTTGATATTGGAGTTTAAGGTCCTGTGGATGTAGATTGCACAGTAGTAAGTGTGGATGTACTGAACAGGGAGTAAGTTTAGATCTATGAAGAGTGGGGGGGTGTGTTGCCAGGGATGGGATTTAGTGATTATTCTTAATGCAGCTTTTTGTTGGGTTATTATTGGCTTTAGGTGTGTTGCTGCAGTTGATCCCCAAGCACAAATAGCATAGGTGAGGTATGGATAAATAAGTGAGTGGTATAGTGTGAGAAGGGCATTTTGCGGCACGTAGTATCGTATCTTGGAGAGGATCCCAACTGTTTTGGATACTTTTTTGGTTATGTGTTGGATATGGGTGCTGAAATTCAGGTTGTTGTCAAGGTATAGGCCTAGTAATTTGCCCTCATTATGTCTGGTAACTAGTGTGTTGTCGATCTTAATGTTAATTTGTGCATCTCCTGCTCTGCTACCAAACATAATATAGTAGGTTTTGTCAGTGTTAAGCGTAAGTTTATTGGTTGTCATCCAAGTCGATATTTTGATCAGCTCCTCGTTAACAATGGTGTTGAGGGTGGCAAGATTAGGGTGAGAGATGACATAAGTCGTGTCGTCAGCAAAGAGAATGGGTTTCAGGTGTTGGGATACGTTTGGAAGATCATTGATGTATATGAGGAAGAGCAGGGGACCAAGGACACTTCCCTGCGGAACTCCAGTATCAAGTGGCCGTGTTGTTGATGCTGTGTCTTTAATGGTAACATACTGATACCTATTAGTAAGGTAAGATTTGAAATAAGCAAGCGCATGGCCTCTTATACCGTAATGGTCAAGTTTGTGGGGTAGGATGTCGGGGTCTACTGTGTCAAAAGCTTTTCTTAGGTCAATAAAATTCTAGTGGATATTCCTTATTTTCCAATGCTGTGTAAAGCAGATCTAGCATTTTTATGATTGCATCATTAGTGCTTTTATTTTTCCTAAATCCAAATTGGCAGGGGTTGAGTATGTTTTGTGCTTTTATAAATGAATATAGTCTCCTGTGCACAAGTTTCTCAAAGATTTTGGATAGCAATGGTAAGTTTGATATTGGCCTATAGTTGTTTAAGTCTGTAGGGTCACCACCTTTATGTATTGGTGTAACCCTTGCCATCTTGAGTAGTTTCGGGAAGGTGCTAGTTTCTAGTGACTTGTTAAAAAGTAATGAAATAGCATGCGAAAGGATATGGGCTGCTCGCTTGTACAGTAATGGTGGGACATTAGACAGATTCCCTGAGTTTTTTTTAAGTGACTTTATAATCTCGGTGACTTTCGAGGGCTCAGTTGGTGCAAGATAGAAGGAATTTGGGAAATTCCCATCTAGGTAGTCCCCGGCATGGGCATTAGTATGTGGGATTTTATTGGCGAGATTAGATCCTATGGTTGAGAAGAAGTCGTTTATCTTGTTAGCTGTGTCAGTGGGATGTAGTGGTGTTTCATTAGGTTTAGTTAGGACAATATTCTTGTTTTTTTTTTCAGTTTGTGGGTCCCTAGAATCTGAGTGTGTGTTTTCCAGGTCTTTTTTATATCTCCTCTAGTGTCTGTGAATCTACTGGAGTAGTATAGTTGTTTGGCTCTCTTTATTACTTTAGTGAGAACTGATGAATAGTGTTTAAGAATATCTTTGTGTATTAAGCCCTGTCTATATTGCTTTTCATATTGGTGTTTCTTGTCAATGGATTTCAGAATGGTGCTGGTTAGCCATGGGCAACCAAGCCGTTTGTTTGTGATCTGTTTCGTTTTTATAGGACAATGTTTGTTGTATAGTCTAAGTAATTTGTTAAGAAAAATGTCTGTCCAGTCATCAATACCATTGGCCTTGGAGGGAAATTTTGTAGGCCCGTCAACAATCTCTAGGTCAGTTGTGAACTTCCTTATTGAGGCCTTGTCATGGAGTCTAAATGAGACTTTGTTGTATTCAAGTGGTGGTTTATGGTGGTTTATTAATGTTTGTCAGGAGGAAGGTAGGGTAGTGGTCTGTAGTGCTATCTGTGATTATCCCTGATTTAAGGGGGGCTAGTATATTGGTCCATATGTGGTCTATTATGGTTGCACTTGTCTCAGTGAGCCTGGTTGGTTTAGTTATTGTTGGTATGAGAAGTGTGTTGTTCATATTGTTAATGAAATCAGTTACAGGCTGATCATCTAGTAAGCCAAGGTTGATGTTGAAGTCTCCAGCTAAGAGAAGGTGGTGCTTATTCATTTGTCTGTTTGTTATTAGTGACTTTAATTTCTCACTGAAATTTGGGATGTTTGTGTGAGGTATCCGGTAAATGGCACCGATTGTTATAGGTGTCTTAAGGTTTTTTACAGTAAAATTAGCAAAAATGTATTCCCCATATTCATCACTAAAGCAAGTGGTGCTAATACAAGATGATTGGTTAGAGTAATAGATTGCAATACCACCCCGAACTTGGTTTGGTCTGCAGTTGTGAATTGCTGTGTATCCTGGTAGAGGGTAGATATCTATTGTGTCCTGCTTAAGCCAGGTCTCAGTAAGAATAATGCAGGAGAAGGGTGTCTTTAGTGATTCAAGGAGTGCCAGGAGGTCGTCATAGTGTTTGCTTAAGGACCTGATGTTGTAGTTAAGTACGTACTGATAGGCTTTTAGCATTGTTTAGGATAGTGCTGGCTTATGATGCTGTGTAATAAAGGCAGTTACTTTCCAATAGGTTTTGATTGGGTGTCAGATTATAGAGGTTTAGATCAGGGTCAACATGATCAATCATCTTCTAGGTTTAAATTATGGTTATTTATATCCTGAGTTATGTGTTGAGTTCTAGTACTGATATCTGTAGTGGTGGGAAGCTTGGGTAAGTATATAGCTAGAGTATTTTCGTCATGTAGAGTATAGTCACTACTACACATAATGAAGTTGATGTTGTCTATGTGTTGTGCTGGAATGAACTAAAGTATAACTAGGTATAAACTAGTAATATAAAAATACAAATTTAAAATAGAACAAGACTCTCAATTGTAATTGCACTAAGGTCTAATATAATGACTTTTGTGGAGTCTATGTTTTGAGCTAGAATGAGCTATAGTACAACTAGATTTAATCTAATAATATAAAAATACAAATTAAAAAATAGCACCAGTCTCTCACTAGTAATTGCAATATGGTCTAATATAATGAATTTGGTATTGACTATAGTACAACTGAGTTTAATCTAATAATATAAAAAGGCACAAGACTCTCAATTGTAATTGCACTAAGGTGTTATATAAGTTGTTTACAAGAATTAGAGTATAACTAGATTTAAATTGACAAGATAAAATATACAAGTTAAGGTAGCAAAAGAATAAAAAAA